CATAGAGCACAAGGGTAGGGAACACTCTGTAGAGGATGCCAGCCAATCACAGAGCAGTTATGTAACATTACCTGGAAATAAATGATTTCAACTACAGGAATCACGCATCGGGGTAAAAATAAGACAAATTCATAGGTGAAATATGGTGCTACACTGGGGAGATGTTTTCCGGAGTGGGACACGCTATGCATTTTCATAACGTGTCAAAAATGTCAGACACACCAGCTCTCACCAAACTAGACAGGGTGTATTTTCCCAGAATAAAAGACATCAGAATCATATTTATCTGCCTGCTTGGCAAGGAGGATGCCAATGAGGGTAACTGAAAAGTACTGGAATCCAGTGACTTAGGAAATTGGTTGGGGGGGGGGGCAGAGAAACATGTATCCCACAATACTTCACTCAGATTCTCCCCCCCCCCACCTAAATACATGGATCTTTGTATTTAAATGAGTAAGTTGTGTTCCCCCAATATCGAGTTCTCTCCTAAGCCGTTTCTGGAATCTGGTATTTATTTTCCATACAAAACAGGGACTTCTAGTGAAAAAGGAAATAAAATACATAGGCTTTGAACCCACCACCATCACTCACAACAAGAACAAAACTTTGTAACCACTGTACCTGTTTGCCTATGCGGTCTGTCCATACTTGCATATAAGGTCATGATTTTTGAGATACACCTACTTCATGCACCTACAGTTCAGTCACCAATTATTGGCTTCTTCGGAATTTTGCAAGTTGCCTAACGTGGCTTTAAAAAGCTACATATCAAAGTGCTGATTATCACATCTCTTTTATAGTTGACAGTAGCTGTTAATTTCCATTCAGCCTCAACATATCTACCCGTTGAATAAAAAGGTATACGTGCCTGTACATGTAGAGGCTGGGCTGGCTTTGGTGAACATTTGGCTTTCTAAAAATGCTTCTATTGTTGGATGAAAATGTAATTGTCCTGTGGAAAAGCTAACAGAAACAGATATAACTATACCTTCACTCAAATGCTTTATGGAATGGCAACGATACTGAATCTGTCGCCATAACAGCTATTTTGAAGTTTTTAGTGTTTTGTTAGGGTATTGTTTTGGAAGTGCCGCTGTACAGTGAGCAGTTGTTAGATGTCATACACTATAGTTGTACAGTGTAGCACAGTGTAGCTAATTGACTGAGGGACTGCAGACTGGAGTCCAGAACTGCATGGGTGAACTTATTACTGCGTTCCACTAGAGGGCAGTCATATTCAACATTAACTTATCTAGTTCAGGGTCATGTGTATATATGTATATATCACAGATATTATATGTATACAATGATGAGCCTAAACATTTTGGCCACCCCCGCTTGAAGTGAATACTGTTGGCTGTCTAGTAAAAACTACATGTGTCAACATCTGGGATATATGCTAGTCGGTAAGCTAACATTCCGTTCCTGTGGTCAACATGCTGTGTGCAGAAGAATTTTGCAAGAGGTTAAGATCTGAATGACTTTGATAAGGGCCAAATCATTACTGCCAGACAACTGGGTCAGAGCATTTATGAAACGGCAAGGCTTTGGGGTGTTCATGGTCAGCCGTGGTGTTTGGGTTCCAAAGATGCAAAAACCCTGACCCGTCGACAGGGTGTTGGTCAGTCTCATCAATGTTGGATGTGAATGATGGCTATCCCATCTGGTATGAACCAACAGAAGGCCTACTGTGGCACAAATGGCAGATGATTTTGATGATGATCACGGGAGTAATGTATCATGACACACAAGGCATTGAGCATTGAGCCCTGCTCGGTTGACTGTTTATTGCCTCTTTTATTAGTTTTACTTTATGGGATCTCATCTTTTAGTATTGATTATAGTGTACATCATGTTATGTTTTTGATTTGCTGTTGTCATTCAGTATTTATGTAGACCACCATTGTCGTGACAATATTGCATGATGATGAGTTTGTGGAATAATGATCTCAATATGGAACCATGTCTCACCACATTGATGTCAGGAGTAGAATTGAGTTGTAGAGGAAGAAATGTAGAGCAGCAAGGGAACTTCTGGCATGATTGGAGGACAGAGTGTTCTACCTACCATGTTTTCCAAAATATGCTGACCACTACTGTGGCACAGCCCCTTCCACAACTCAGTTGGGGCAAACCCACCTTGGGGAAGCCAATGTCAGTGACAGTAATGGACAATGTCAGTGACAGTAATGGAAAAGGATGACCTGCAAGGTCATCCTTTTCCATTGTCCAGGGGCTTTGGCAATTTTAGGTAATGCTATTTGGACTCTGCAAAGCCCCTGCAACATTTTTGTGCCTCATGGAGAAGGTGACGGCCTCCATGACACAGACCTGCTGTGTGGGGTACCTTGATGAGACATTGGTGCGCGCAGAAGATTTTGATGGAACCATGCACTACTTGCAGCAAGTCTTTGCAGCCATCTGTTGGACCGGCTTCCACTTCACCCACAAGAAATGTAGCATCATTACTGGGCCACATGGTATATGCGGTGACCGGCTACCAAAGAGGATGGCTGTCCTGGACCAGCCTGTTCCTCCGGACATCACTGAGCTGCACAGCTTTCTGAGAGTCACATCTTAGTGTGCTGTCACAGGTTTTTCTGCCATTTGGTAGCATGCTCCATTAACTGCTGAATGAGTAACAGTTGTTTGAGTGAGAGGCTGCATGAACCACCACCTTCAACCAGCTTTATGTCACGCTCACTGAGGCTTCTATCCTGGCATACCCCAATTCATCATCATTGACATTGATAGCAGTAGTGTTGGGATCAGTAAAGTCCAAGGTTGGAGGAGAGGGAGAACATGTGGGGACCTGTTGCAGCAAAGCCTCCAGCTGCCCTGAGCACAAATACTGTGTTTCATATTGAGAGGTTCTGGTTTTGTTCTAAGTACTCCACCACTTCTGTCCCTACTTGTCTGGCAGGTGCCTCCTCCTGCAGACAGATCATGTATCCATTGTGGCTTCTCGTAAGACACCCATGGAACAGCTGGCTTGGTGGATTGCAGCACTCCAGGGCTACGACTTTGATGTTCCCCTGTAATGCCGACCTGCTCTCCTGAAGCCCTTTTGCAGTTGCAGAATGCTAATACCATCAACGGCAAGAAGAGTATGGCTGTGTGACTATCACAGTGGAACCACGGCTGATGATGGTCTGCCCAGTCTCAACTAACAGCTATAGTGTTAGCGAATGACCCTGAAAGGAGGGCCCGTTACTCACACTTGGACACATTCATGCAAGAAGAACGCCTTAAGTTTAGATTGGGTTGGGCACCAGACAAGGGTTCCATAGCTGGCTGTCACCCCCGTGATCCAACCCCAGGCACTGGCCATGGCTTTGTAGGAGGGGGCCATTTTGCAACATTTCTGAAGATAATTAAATAAAGCTGGATGCCATTAGGAGTTCCATGTTCACTACCCAGAAAGGATCATTCCATCACTCTGATCCCGATACTGCAAACTGTGGTGCATGAGGGGTAGATATCCTGCGCCCATTCCTCACCATGGTATAGTAAATGTTTTGCTACTTCAGCCCACTTTTAGGGCTGGACTGTGGCCAGGAATGAAACATTGAAGCGCAGGTGTTTGGTGAGGTCTGATGGAAGGCTCCCGCTGCTCTAGCTCCCTTGCAGAATGTTCTCCTCCTTGAGTACTTCCACTGGATCATGGCCATCCAGCTAGCCACCCTCATCAGTTCACACCAGTGCGACAGGGACTGCCACCTGCACATGGTCTTGTGGGTCTACCAGACAGTAATTCGGTAGTCCATCAGATGCACGCCAGCAGCTGTCATGCTTAGGAAAGAAATAAAGACAAGTAGGAGCAGAGTGAGGCTGGCATGGAGTACCTACTGTACATTAACTTCCGTTAGCAGGTCTGGGTGGTACATGAGCTTGCTTTTCAGGCACGGACACACTCAAGAGCCTATCAGAAGAGAGCATACGTCACGCTCTGTGACAGCCAGGCCTCACCCCTGGAGAACCCAACACACTGACCCTTGGGGGCAATGTACCCTGCCAGAGACCTGCTGTGCACTTCCAGTATATCCATCCCAGCATGCTTTGCAGCAAGCCTATTGCTGAATAGTGCTCGGTTTGATGGTTTTGTTTTATTTATTTTTCTCTTCTTTTGACTTTTAGTATTGGTTGTAGTGTGTTTGTTGTTCTGTGTATAACTTACAGTTGTCATGTGGTGTTAATTTCCACCACCATCATAGCAACAATATCACAATGATGGCAGTATGCCTGTCTGGAACATTAGTGTGAGTGTGTGGAATATTCTGGAAGCTTGTTTAGCTGCTGTCTCAGTCTTGCTATGGAGACCCAGTTTGGCATAATATTCTTTCTCAGAGTGTCTCCATCCACATTTAATGGCTTACTGGGTCTACTGCTAAACACACAACCTTTCAGATGCCTGTACCTTAATTCCACAACCATTTAGGGAAGTTTGTTGTTTAAAATATGGGCCATGATATTTTTGAGCTACTTTGCTACCTTCCTGCAGGTCTGATATGGAAGGGCTGCGAGATGCGCTCTGTAGGCTTGGAGTAAAATTAACTTAGTATCCAAATTTTCCAGTAGGGGGCAATATTATGCAACCAAGAAAAACGAAGAAAAAACATTCTGACAAAAACCCTGCAGCATGTCAATGGATCTGTCAATACTAATTTCATTTAGCTCCATTTGTGGGGTATTAACTCTGTCATTAATGACTTTTCCCTTCTTGTAGTGTGTTCTTTCTACAAACACTCATGTGCAATTTAATTACTAAATCACTGGTGCAAAAATACTGAAAAAAACAGATTTTTCATAGCTGCCAAAATGCATGCCATTATCATGTTAAAATAACTTATTTCCAAACAAGATGACTATTTTGTTGTATGTCACAGGTTTTGAAATGTGCTTCTACATTGTTTTGAATATCTCTCAGGATGTTTGGGTTATGGGGAGACAAATTGTACTTGCACAGCCCTTTTAATAATATCACTCAAAAGCAATCAAGATATTCTGAAAAAAAAAACATTTCATTTTTCAGCTGTTTTAATGAGTACAGTGTGTTAAATATGTATTACAGCTATTCAGGATGTTGTATGAGTTTGTATTCTGCAATAAATGTGCCCAATATAAGTAAATACTTTGTGTAAAAAGTTTACAGTTTGGGTATCTATGTCCTTCTGATGAACATGCTCAGAAAGTCACAGAGATGAACAATATATACGTGAGTACATTTATATAGAAGGTGCTGGGAAAATGGCATAGCGGGGGAAGAGACAAAGGAATGTGGGGATGACATGGTGTCATGGAAAAAAGGATTCTGGGTAATGACTAGAGACATCTAGTATAAACAGCAAAGGATTCAGGGAATGTAGGGAGGGGCAGGGAGACCGTAGTGAGCCACACCATGTTAGATCTTTATTTCGGAGCGAAAGGTCTGAGCGTGCTCCAGTTTAGCTGGGTGCCTGCATGCCTTGACGGTGAGAGTGCCCCCGTCACTGAGAGATGATGTCACCGAGGTGGGGTCCACGTCTTCTGGCAGCTGGCACTTGTGGGCAAATGTGTTTGTTACTGTGCCATCTGCTGCCAGCTGGGGAAGATGGGGAAGATGGGGAAGATGGGGAAGATGGCGAGAAAGAGAATTACAGGGTAAGAACAGTGGAGACAATTTGGAGGCAAATGGGGTATTTGTGAGGATAAAAGCATGAAGCATGAGAAGAAAGTACTGCACATGTATCGAGAAGCTGAGCAACAATATATCGATTCTGTGCATCTCATGTTGGTTCTCTTCGCTGTGTTTTTCTCTATTTCAGTTCTAGTCTAACTGGCTTTAGTGACATAACATCGCAATTTCTTATTTCCAAAGTGCAGCAGCAGTCTACAAAAGGGTCAAAATGACAAACAAGCTATTAAAGAATAAGGTGAACGTGTTTTAACCCTCTACCCCCCAGGTTCTTTGGGGATATATAGGAAATCAATGCTCTGGAGACGCACTGGCCATTTGTCATTGTCTGGAATTTTTGAAAATGTTAAGTTCACTGGCAAACATTAATCTCTAGGCTTCTTATATTTGTAAGATTTAAGAGCAAAGTGTTGTTCCCTTGCTACCTCCTGCTGTTCTCCCCATTTTGACCAGTTTCAATGGGCAGCCTGTCCTACCATCTTATTCTGTATGTTATTGCTTTGAGTTGTTTTTCGTGTTTCCTGTCATGGTTTCATGGTGGTTTGGTGTCTCTTTAAGGATTTTCAGCTCTCCCTCTGCTTTGGTTTGCTCAGCACCATTGAGTGACCAGTTGATCTGTGCACTGGGATGTTCTGATGCTGTCCTTGGTTGGTGAGGGTTGGTGAAGTGAGCTGTAGGACTGGCTGCTTGTGGGGATTTTGTATGGGGTAACAGTGGCAGCCGTGAGGCTCCTGGTACAACTCACCTTCTCTGCCCGAACCTCGATCTGGTTGTTTGAGGTTGTGACAATCACGTCCTCCGGGGAAAAGCCTCTGACATCCACAGTGAACTGGTACGTATCTCCCAGCGTCCTGACGTTGCCTGACTGACCTGGTGGGGGCGATAAGGAGGCAGTACAGGAGGCTTAAGGGTGCGAGGCTTCAGAGCTTTAACAAGACTAATTTAGGTCAACTCACGCTGACCTCTGACCTACGACCTATGATGCAGGTTTATTTACTTGTGTCAGCTGTCCATGACCACTGTCCTTTGACCAGGAGGTCAAAGCATGTCTCAAAGTTGCTGCTGTTGATGTGTTCACACACACGTCACAGGTTGGTATGCCTATATAGGCAGTGTGTGTGCATAAGAACATACTCACTGCCACGTGACATCCTGCCCAGTCTCGCCAGCTCGGACACCATGCCGTCATTCCCCGCATGTGAAGTCACAGTCCTGGCCCTGGACCAGACATTCCCTGGCTCACGTTCGACCCCCCGAAACCTCCAACCCCTCCTTCCCAGGGTGTGTTTGCCCACAGACTAAAATACACCTCGGTCCAGCACAGTTGTTTCGAGTGACTGCTGGCCCAGGGTACACTGTGTATATTTAACGTCACACTCACAAATGCATTTACAAACACACATATACAGATTAGCTGTATGCACCAATATACATACTTAAACAAACAGATGAACACAAATACAAGCACACAAAATTACCTGGAGAAATGTCTATACACTCATGCACATACATACACACTCACTCATAAAAAAGGGCATAGATTTGTGTATGGAGAGTAGGGACGTGATCCTACCATATTGGGGGAGGCCCATGTGTGTTTAGGGGTCCCTGCTAATGAACCAAACTTACGCCCTTGGTCATAAACACAGGAAAGTCATATGTTTATGTTTGCAAAGTGCCCTGAGCTCCTCAGTGCTCCCCCTAGTGCAGAGCAAGAGCAAATGCACTCCTTTATTCTCACTGAATCTTCTGCTCAGTCGGATTGTGCTGGTCCAGCCAGCTAGGTCAGGAGAACGAGGAGCCGAGATGAGACAGGATGGCCGAGAGACAGCGGAGGGACCCTGATCCGGGGCAGGTCACTCTTATAGGCGACGTAGGTGATCACTGAGGGCTCCGTCTTCTGAGAGGGCACCGAATTAGCAAACCATCTGTAGTGCCCAAACCCCGCCCCCCCCCCCAAGCCCCATGCAAGTTTCACCACCGGCACCCACCCCCTACCCCTCCAGGGCCGCACCATCCAAAAACAAAGTCAAATTGCCTAGGGGGGGTCATATGGGTTTTCCCCAGCCCAGCCTTGATTGACAGTAACCTCCAGGGTCCATCCCAGGGCTTATGGCCGGGGCTTTGCTGGAGAGGCTGAAATGTCACAGTACGGTCTGTCTCCGGTTCCCCTGGCTAGGGGCGTTGGATTGATTTTGGCTACATATGAAGAGAGCTTTGAGAGATCAGGACGGCCATCATGAGAACAGGCAGTAGGTGTATAAAGCGGCCGCACACATCCAGTTATCTGAGGCTCCAGAGCCTCAGAATCAGCGGCAGCAGCTTCCGGAGACCCCGCCGGATCGCGTTTCCAAACACGGTAACCAGAGGAACAGCGTTGGCAGGAAAACTCACCCTCGAAGGTCGCCGAGCCGTCCCCCAGCGGGGGGTGCACGAACGACCCAAAGTCCTCCCCGAAGATGCCTCGACTCTTCTCCGTGTAGCTGGACGAGGAGGCCTGGTGGAAAGTGCGCTCCGAGCGAAAGGCGGATGAGGTGGACATTGATAGTGGGGTGGGGGAGGCTGCAGTGTCGAAGGAGATCAGGAGTAGACTGCCTCGGCTCGGGGCCTCTATGCCTCGCTTTGTCACTCTGCCTTCAGCCTCTATCCGTCTTTGTCTCTCGATCTGATTTGACTGCTATTTGCTTCTGAAGTTGGTCTCTAAAATCCTCTCTTATCCCAACAGGCCCCTCCTGTCTTCTCCCTCTGGCTGTAGGTGAATTTTGTGCACATCCAGCCCCCGTGGCTTTTATACTGTGGGTTGAGTAATGGGATTTTACTGTGTGTGTGTGTGTGTGTGTGTGTGTGTGTGTGTGTGTGAGCGCGCGCGTATGTTTAGCCGGACACGACGGAATGCCGCAGGCGCTATATTTGTCACCAGAGGGATGGGGGGTCTTCAGTATCAGTCCATGGAAAAGTTTTGTGACGTGGGGGG